CTGGTCAGGGCATCTGCCCTGGAAGACCTGGATGGAGTCCCTGTTCTGCCTTCTCATGACCACATCAGTGTAACAAGTGTTTAAAAAAAAAAAAAAAGACATATCTGTGTTTCTGTAAGATACAGTCTGATCACACATCTTAATTCTGAGTATATGGTATGGTATTATTCTGAAACTATGATGCTTCTGATGGCTTCAGAACCATTTTCTATACAAATATATATATATTTGATCAATAACAGAGATTAATCCCAATATCCCAAAGAATGGCCGTTTAGTACTTTGGTTGATGCTTTCAGAGTTAAGGAGTAGGGCAAGTAGCAAGTATAGACTATCCATGGCACATACGACTGACCAAATAAGTTTCAATAGTAGCTACAAGTGTCTAAAGAACACAACATGCTGTCCATGTAATAAGACGGATCCAAAACTCCTTGTCTGTTTTGCCTTCCTAGGGTTCTGTTGTAGCTGTGAAAAACAACTTTCTGCTACAGAGAATAAGGTTACAGAGTGCTTGTCATAGTTCCTCACCCATAAATCAGTATGTCTGCATGAAGACAACCTGAATAATTTTAGTGTTCAGCATATTTTGTTCAAATTGCAGAGGCAAAAATGCATGGTGGCATCTTCCACGCCTGACTCTTGTAACTGCCCACAGTTTTGAACTTAGTTGGGCTTGAAGAAGCAACATATATGTACTTCTTTTCACACATCTCAAGTGTATTGAAGTTATTTTTGCAAAGGTCGCAAGCGGGGTGGGTATCTTCATATTTTGAGCCAAATGATTACAAATTTGGCATGCTACTGATCCAAAGCACTTATTGTACCAAAAATGGAGGGAGGGAGTTACTGCCAACACAGAAGTCAGCACAAGAGCACAGGAAGGTCAAACTGACGCTGGCAGTTTGTAAATCTGGAGAGCCTTCCTGCACCTCACTTTAGAAGAAATCACTAAATCACCCTGCGTCTCAGTTCCCTCATTTTTAGAAGAGGAGAGCACTTCATCCCATGTGTATCTTGGAAAAGTGCTATATTTGTATAATATCATCGTTGGAAGGCAACACTAGTTGTAGTGCAATAGAGAGCTGAGGAATTCAGGGGAAGGGCAGGACAAGGAAGAGCAAAGCGGCATGGGGCTGTGGTCAGAGTGTTAGGCAGGTCCCGTGCCGGTGTAGCCAGTTGGGCAGTCGCAGAAGAATCCCAGTTATGGGACACGTTGCCCAGGGGCAACTTCGGTCTGTCCCTCCTTGCATGTCACATGTCCTGGAGCACCTCCAACTCAGATTTGCTCCATTTTTTGTCTTTAAATATAGAGATTGTCACTACCCTTGATTAAAATTTTCTTCACTAAGTTTTTGATCTGAACAACCACGGTATAACACACAAACTTTGATATTTGTGTTGAGGTATCCAACAGATTAAATAAGAATTTCCTGGATTGACCCTTCATGTACAACAGTAGCATGCCATATTGTGATCTACAAATATATTTTTTTCCACATTAAAAAATCTCTACCCATCCTCTATTTCTTAAATTGCAATAAACATCATGAAACAGTCTATAAATATAATTTGTCCTTGTCTTGTAAATGCCTCTAAAACTCCACCCTTCATAATGACAGCACTTTCCCTAATAACTAACATATTTCAAAGTTTTAATAAAGAAGAGAGAAGCCAAAGGGATGAAAATAAGAAAAAAAAAAAAGACAAATGATGAGACTAAACCTGTTTGATGGACACCACATATGTCCCACTCTCAGGTACTCTGTCATTTTTATTGATTCTTGTTTTGTAGTAATCCTCCTAAACTCATCCCAATAAAAAAGATTTCCCCTTGTGCTGTCTGGGCAAGGCTGGCTGGCTTCAGAGTGAGAGCATGTGTAGGTCCAGACTGCAAAATCTGGGTCTGTCTCCAAAGGCTTGGTAGTATGTGGAGCCATGGGATGCTGATTTCTTCTAGACAACAAGATGCATGTCTGGCATCCTAGTCTGCCAAACAGATATAGGGAACTGACAGCTTCTGGTGAAATGCAGATTGCAGTTGGGTGACTTGCAGGAAAGGGACCTAAAGATTCATCTGCAATGAAATAACTGAAAAGTGGCTGGGAAAAGCTCCCTGAGGCCACATAAATATCTAAATGGAAGCAACTAGGTCAAGTAAAACACTCATGGGACTGGTGCAATGAAGAGACCTAGCTCACAGATCAAAGACAAGGAAAGAGCATAGTGGTTACATGCAGCTGCTGTGGCCTTTGAGGGCATTTATCTAAACCTTCCTTAGTCCTAGTAATCCTATGTTCTTGAACAAATAGAGATCAGCAGCAGATGAAAAGTTTCCAACCAGAAACTGGGAGTGAGCTGGTTTGTAGGAAGGAGTGATACCTCTTACTAGGTCAATGAAACAGCAGGAGAAGAACAACAGAAAAAAAAACACAAAAAATAACCAAATAGCCACAGGCTTTGAGGCAAAAAAGCTCTTTTTTGGGTCTCCAAGAAGCACTGAAGAGGGGGTCAGTGTAGCGCTTCGATGTCCGCTTTGCAGCAGGACTGGAGATTTGGGCACCAGAGATGGATGGAGGGAGGACACTTCAGTATAGTCACCGTAAAGGGTAGAGGTTAAGAAACATCTCGCTGCTGCAGTAGTCCAGGTTCAAACCCTGCCGTTCGTCTTCCAAGGCCCGTCCTCTTGCTCTCGGAGGTGTGCAGTGGTGGTGGGCGCCCGAGGGAATGAGGAGGGGCTCCTGCTGCGCCAGGAGGCACGGCGAGGCCGGCAGGCTGCCACCAACTGTGTGGCGCTTTCCCCGGTGGGACGCGCCTCTGGCGGGACCCAGAGGCTCCTAGCCACCCTTGGGTGCACGTGGCGCGCCAGGAGCCGGCTGGACACCGGCACGGAGGGACTCGCTGGGCAGGTGGGCCGGAGCGAGCATGGGCCTGTGGCAGCCCTGCAGGGCGGCCGGCGGCACCTTGTCCCAGTGCGGGGGTTCGATGAAGCTGATGGAGGAGCTGCAAGTCACGGTGGGCACAGGGCTCCCCGGCTTGTCACAGCAGGGACTCGAGCCCACGGCCTCAGCATCCTTCCCCACGTATGGTGAGAGCCCCAGGCTGCCAACAAGTGCCCGTTCCGGGGGGACCCCGCTCGCAGAGTGGCTGAAGTGAGTGGGGGCTATGGAAGCTCCCGGCTTGGCATGCAGGAAAGGCAAAGGATCGCAGGACTGTGTTTCGTCTGCTAGACACTTGGGAGAGCAAGGGGCAGAGTATTAGACAAACTAGAAAAGAAGAGGTGTAGTTTAGCAATACAAACTGAAAACCCTCCTGTAAGAGACCCTTATGAATGCTTTTAAGTAACGCAGCTAATAAAGATGCAGCTAGAGAGCCTTCTCTCAGAGCAATTCTAGCATTTTTTAGCTATGATTTTAGGGCTTTATCAAAGGATTTCAAGAGCACCGTTAAGAATTTAGTTCGCTTTTTTTTGCCAAATGCTATTTTAAACTAAATACATTGATAGATCAATCATTCACAGCTCTCAAAATCAGATGCCAGCAGACACTGAAGTAACACCTGAAAATGTTTTTTTCTCATTTATTTGATTTCACAGAATTTAAATCATTCCTATGCTGTTTAAAAAAATAAATAAGATTTAAGTGACTTTTTTTTGTGAAGAGATCTTCTCACTCCAGCAATATTATTCTTCAGCTTTGATTCTTTCAGTTAATTTTTAACTGATTAATTTTCCCATACTTAAATATTTTGCACCATGAATACAAATTGCATTCAAAGAAGGAGCAGAACACTAGAGTTACTCTGCCAGACCTTCTTTCCTGGATATTTTGCAATTCCTTTAAATGCTCTAATTATTGGATTATAACTTTACGAACTTTAATTCCTGCAAAACACACATTCTGTGCTATCATTTCTGAATAGGGTTTATAGGTCTCTGTTCTCTATAATTCTCCTTATATCCCTTTAATTACAGTGATTTTCTAACTTGTTGACCACAGGAGTTGCAAAGATCCTTTCAGCTATTCTCAGTCTACGATAAGGAGAAATACCAAAGACCTTACGTAGGACCCAGCCCTTCTTCAGTTAAAGAGCAGCTGACGCCACACAAAAAACATTCCGTATATCACTTGATCTATTTTTGGCTCATATGTTTTCTGCAGTTCTCCTTTCTGCTCTCTTGCAAGCACACTGAAGTAGAATCTTTTAAAAAGACAGCTTCAGCGATGCTAATTTTGCATCTGCAGTCAGACTACTGAGTTTATCCTATCCTAACTGGTCATGGTGAGAACAAGAACATGATGGATTATTCACAAAACAAACCTGCTTGAAAGGCATGAACTAGAATGCCATGGTAACAGTCTGAGCCACAGGAGCAACTACACAGAGTCAAATCATCCAAAGAGTCTGGGTGGGCTTCCCCCATGGAGAACCTCCAGGTTTGTCTCCTTGGTGGGTGTTGAGTCTGCCTGTAAGTCAGCTATTGAACTAAATGAGTTTTCTTAAGCAAAGACTTGGGGACCAGACAAAATGGAGTAAGGATTTCTGCATTTGCCTTGTTAATGACAAGTATATTTTGTTGAGATGCCATATGCGGTATATAATGGGTTTATCCTCTAGGTAATCTCATACATCGTATTACATAACAAAATAGCGCACTTGCTGTATTTGTGTGTACACATACAAATCCTCCTCCTGAGCTTAGTTTTTGTCAAAAGGATTTCCTGGTCTTTAAGTGTTCATTTGTTACTTTTTTTAAATAGGTTAGTGCAATCAGTATGTAAATTAAACCCAGTTAAAACCCCCTAACTGTTCTCCTTCAGGGTCCATATCCTTAGACCAAATATTTGTTTTCTTTATAAATAATGTTAGTTCTGAAGCAGAACTAACAAAGGACTTGTAGGAAAGTTTGCTAAAGGCAACTCTTTGCTATAAACAAGGAAAAAAATGGGGCACTAAAACTGTGCACATGCTGCTAAATAAAACAAGTCCAAGTGCTCTCATCAATGGCTGGACCGAAGGCATCGCTGCGTCCACACTACATCCTGGCCTTGGATAATCTCTGGGCCTGAAGTGGAACAAAGTGAGGGCCACACTGCAGTCCACCAAGAAGCATTTTCACAGCATTAGATTAGTATTCCCTATCCTTGCTTATGGCATGATGCATATAAGGTTACAGGAAGGTGAAAGGCCAGCTGTATCTGGTGAAGAGACCCAAAACTGGTGTAACACCACTAAACTCAGCTGAGGAATGGTCCGTGGCACATGCTATCCACTTGATCCATGCTCAGGAGTTTTGTTCATGAGCACTAGCTTGCCCTGGCCAAGACAATACAAGGCTCTCTGAGAAGGGTGATGTGATTCAGGCTGCTTTCTGATGCTGTCATATTGCTAGGTATGGACCCAATCTCTTGCTTCCAGCAGGACTGAAGGGGATGGCTGCCCCAGCCCAGGGTGCTGACAGGGAATGACAACACTGAGCCAAGCTGACAGAGAGCTTGGGACAGTCCTTCTCATGCTGAGCCCCCTCTCTACCTCTCTGATCCTGTGGCAAAATGCGAGATGGCCATGGACAGAGACGGCCAATGGCCAGCTCCCCTCCACAGTGAACCAGCCCAGACCATGGATCAACCCAGTAAGTTAACATATTAACACTAGAATTTACCTCGATTTCCTGGAATCTTCTTAGTCTTGGGCAAGGGGGAGAGAAAGCTGTTTGTGCTTTTTGGATTGATCTTCTTGCTTCTGCTTCTAGTTTTGTTTCAGGTCGTGGATGATCGTGAGCCCCTTTGGACTTTAGAAAGCAATTGGGACATGTTAAACTTACAAGCAAAACCTTGATATTGATCTTAAGGGAGCAGGATTGTAGCATGGCCCAAGAATAAATGGGCTGGATTAATACTTTTTATTTAATGAGATATTTAATGTCAGCTCAAGTCACAAACATATCTCAGACGAAGTCTGTTGGGGCAGAAAATTTAAGAAATCATGAAAACTGTGCATAAAATGGTCCCCACACTAGAGACCCAGTTGAAGTCATGAGGTGATTTGAACCCTAGCTACAGTGACCCTGCACAATTGGTTCCATCATTTCAAACTTCGGTCAGTGTTTTTCAGGAAATTAATCTCCATTAGAGAATTAATTTTATTTAATCTGCATGTAACTGAAAGGAGGTCTAATCTCCTGGAAAGCAGGAGACGATCCAATGTTTAGACAGTTTAGGACTACACCTTCCAAAAACAGTGCCCATTATCCAAACATCTGAATGCACTGTTTCCAGGTAAAAGTTGTACATATGTGTGTATGTTTTTTTGCCATGGGCTATCCCCCGGTACAACCATCTCCTGCTCTACAATGTCTTCATACCTATATGTGATGCCCTGCAGAAGGGGTTAATGTAACATGGCATTTCTGATCCTTTGAGAATCTGCTAGTTCCTATGTGCACATGTCCAGTCATAGAAGCACAGACTAACTTGTGTTTGAAGAGACCTCTTGAGTCTGCTTCAGCATCCTGCTCAAGCAGAGCTAACTTCAAAGTTTGATCCAGTGTTCAGGACCTTGACCACTCGTTGTTAACTATTTTCTTCTTGCAACTGGTTAACTTTCACTTAGTCACTTTTGTCACAATGATCCTTATTTGTTGGAGCAAACAAATGCCTTCTATTAATCCAAAAAGCATACTATTTATAATTTATAGTCTGTATAATTTTAAAATTAATTTGCATAAGATAAGGTAATTTTATACCAACCTGAAAGAATATGAATGGGCCTTCATGTCTCCAAAAGTTGGTAACTGGGTAACCGCCATGTCCTCGGCAGGAAATGAGCCTCAGGGGTCCACTGCAGTTTGGACAGCATTTCCCTGGAACATAGTGCAAGAGAGAAATATTTTCTATGTAGTATCAAGTCAAATAAATCCCAGCTGATACAACAATTTATGTATAATAGATTGTTGCTCTTTTGTTTCTGGACTCAGGAATTACACTGAGGGTTTTTTTTTTTTTAACTTGCAAGTGTCTGGTATGTCAAATATGTTCTTGTCAGATTTTTCTAGAGCATCCATTTCTGATCCCAGTGAGATCCTGATTAAAGTCTTTCTTCATCCAAAATGTTTATCAGTTCCAGAAATTAATATGGGCTAGCTCTAATCAACCATCAAAAAATTGTTTGGAATGGTCTCATTAAAATGTCTATCCCTCTCTTTTACTCTGCTTGCATAGTCTTGTCTCTTGAAAATCACTATTTCCAGTCAACGTAGTTCATGAGCAACGGCTTTCCTGAGTTCCTTGTGGGCCCCTGAAATAATGACATCGACACCCAGGCCAGCATGAGGAGCACAGCAGAAAGCTCCTTCTTTGCCTCTCTTCCTTGGTAGCCTTGTTCAGGGGTCTGTGAAGGCCAGGAGCCAGAGCCACACAGGAGTTTCCATTAACTAGGCTGACAGGCTGAATTCCAAAAAAGAAAGCAACCCAGCAAACCCCTCAACAGTAATACATTTTAACTGAGTTGCTCCAAAATCAAGAGCTGTGTTTGACTATAGGGAATGATCTCAGAGGGGAACTCTGAGGTCCTCTACTTCAATGTCTTCTAAGTTGCATTCACTTATTAACTGTCACATAATAAAGAACCCAAGGCGAGTCTTGCTGCCTTTATGCAGTATAACTTACTCTGTTGTTTTTGCCGAGCTTTGTCACATATGGCTGGTCTTAGGTAGATCTTCCTCCCATCCAGAGTTGAGCAGTCATTGCCACAGACCACCACCCCAAGGCAGGACTTTTTTAAGACGCGAGAGTTATGGTTGTTGGTGTTTCTCATCGCCCAACTGCTATGGTGCCTCTGAGCATTTTTATCCTCGGAGCTATAGATATGTTTTACATAGGAGTCTGGCCATTCTTGGAACCAGTCTGTGTGTTTCACATCCTGTTAAGAGACCAGAGAAAGCCACATTTTAGCCTGGAAGAAATTAGGGCTTGTGTGTGAGCCTAATGGACCTGGTCTACCTTTGGATCCAGAAGACCTGGCTAACCGGCTGCTCTCACACCCTCCAGTCCAGCTCCACGCACAGCCGTCCTGGCAGAGGAAGGTGGGACTCTTGACGTAAAAGAGCACATACTTTCCTTGCACGCAGCAGGCACCATCTGACTAACTTCTATTAGCTTTCATGGTAGAGATCCTGCTTTGATGTTCTGACTATTAACCATAGTGTTAAACCAAATGATTTGGCTGGACTCACTGTGGAAAAAGGACATATACTACATCAGATTGAGCCTATTGCCAAATTCGTATATCGTCAGGTCTAGGATTTTGATTGCTTTTGGCTTAAGTGTTGTGAAGGATTTCCACAGAAATTTTTATGAAGTTCAAAATAAAGAAAATCTTGATCAGGTTTTATTTTCACTATCATGGATGAATCAACTAATATTTTTAATAAAAAAACATTCAAAAGAGCAATAAAAATGAAACTTAGTGAAACAAAAAGACCAAGGGCTGACTACACGTCACCTCAGTGTCACAGTCACATCACAGTCCACAAGTAAAATGCAGTAAGTTATAAAGCCTGGTTGTTTTTGAAGGAAAAAAGGCTAGTGGCAACAGGGGTACAAAAGACTTAACAGGACCTCTCTGAAATTGCAGATCCCAGGCACCTCAAGCCACTATGACAAAAGGACTGTGAACTAAGAAGAGAAAAATTGGAAAGGCTGCATTGCCTGTGCTCATTTGGGAACCACCCAAGAGGGCAGAAAGGGTGTGGAGAACCTCCAGGCTGAAGGGCAGGAGAAGGAGACCTTGGGGTGGAAGGCACAAAGGAGGCAACTTGGGACAGGGCGGCTATGGGTGCACAAAAATGACTTAGAACGGAAGTGACTGGGATCGGTCGAGAGGAATCAGCTATAAATATGCTGTGGCGAGAGACACGGACAGGAGCTGAGGTTTGGGTTTTCAGTGGTGGACATGAATGAGATTTTGAGAGCGAGGGCTAGAAAAGCACTGAGGGAGGCAACAGTCACTATTCTGCTCTGCCAGCATCCACAGACTTCCACAGACTACATGAAGCTGACTTTTCCTCGCCTGTATATAGAAACGTAGCCCAGCTTCCCCGGACTCCCATTTGTAGCCAGGCTGGGCACCAGCTGCAGTGCAGCTTGTGAGTGCTGTGCCGGTCTCCTGGACATTTCCAATTGCACAATCTCCAGAGCAGGATACAATTATTTTCCCTACTTTCTCTCCATCTCATCTACCAATGGACTACAAAGGCAATGAACCTGCAGCATAACTATTTTTAAGGTATAAACAGTTCTTGGAATAATACACTTTTACAGAAAAATACCTGGGAAGCTCAACATTTTACAAGATGTTGTCTAGTTCTTCAGCAAAACACTGTGCCATTGCTCGGGGTGGCAAAAAGAGTAAAGACAGTGAGGTAAAGATCACTGAGAGAGTATTGCAGAGTAGCGGTGAAGTGGAGAAGCCAGGGCAGGACTGGATGAATTTCTAAGATACAGCCACATACCTGGGGAAGTTTGATGTCATTGATATCCCAATTTGCCATTCCTCCATTTTGGGAAGCAGAGTCCTCCTGTTCCATAACAACATTGTCTGCACCTTTCAGCATTTTTGAATTCCTTCCCAAACTTAGCAAGAAAGTCTCTACAGGCTGCTTTTGAAGTTGACTGGCTCTGAGCACTCTTGAGCAGTTTACAACCAGGAAGCTGGTTCCTGAAGCTAAATGATAGAGAGGCTGCTCATTGAAGATAAAAATCAGTGTTCTTCTGCCAGAAAAACTTGTTCCATTAAGGGTTTTGCAAGCCAACAATGCAGTGGAAAATATAGCTTAGAGACAGGATGGGATCTTACAGAGGCATCGGTAATGGCAAGCAAATAGCACCCGTGTCATCTGTCTGCTTTTGCTCATTTTTCTCTCACATGGGGTTTATAGCCTTGTAACTCTGCTGACAGGATCCTTATATGTGGGATTAGGCTCAGTATTTCCAGAGTTCTGCAGCTCCCAGGGGCCCCTTCAGCCACTGCGCACCCTTTAGACTTTGCTTGTGCTGCATCCACCAGAGCAGGGGCTGCTCTATCATGTCAGATGAAATGGCTCTTGCACCACCCCTTCCAAAAAGTGCTGACATCTCCGAGCTATATATCAGCTACATGAGAGATGGAAAGTGTAAAAAAAGGAGGTCAGGCTACTTGCATTTTCATATCTCAACAGCAGACTGAAGGGGAAAAAAAAAAGACTGCTAAGGCTGCTAAAACCAACAGTTACCCTCTGAGGTCTCGTAAAGTGGGCGGTTGCCCTGTGCTGAATTTCAGCAACAGCTCTTTTCAGGGATCACAGACATAAAAATGCTTCCGGAGTTATTTCCTTTGGTGGAAATCACTATTACTGAGAGAAAAGGTGAATCTGAAAACGAACGGGCCACTTTTCTACTTCTGAAAGGTGGAAAAGCTTCTGTGATTTCATAGAGGTCCCTGTAATCTAGATCCACTGAGGATGTGTTGAAGGCAGCAGAGGGAGAGAAGAAATAAAATCTGCCAGACTGCACACTCAGCAATGTGAGATGTGGCTCCTTCAAAAGCAAACGAGTCACGACAGGATCAAAAAAGATGTCAGAATATGGGAAATGGGAGAATATAGGAGAAGGGAACAACACTACCTAGAAACACACATAGCTGTAAAAAACTCAGGCCTTCATATATTTTCGTATTGTTCTTACAGTGAAAATGGAGATAGTAAAAGTCAGGACAAAGAAAATACGAGTTGCACTGGAAAGAGGAGTTGAATGTACTAAACAAATAACCCTTGACTATTACTCACTCTAAAACATGAAATGATTTGTCATATAATCCAAATTGGCAGTCCCATTGCTTTTAAAACTGTGTTCCAAAAGGAGCTGGCTTGGAAATTGATTTTTAATTTCCTTCTTCTTAAAGGAAAATTTAATAATTTGCCATGGATCATTTCCTCTTTTATTTTAAATTGATAAAGATTAAACAACAAAAAAAATAGTTTAAGGTTTAATGAAAGACATATTTAATTTTAGAGAAATATGTCTTAAAACAAAATTACAGTAAATCACATCAATTTGGGTTCTTGCTGCCAACTTCAGATTATAATAAGGCAATGATGTGGTATATTACATTTTTAATTATTCTGCGTGTATCTTTAAGTACTGAAGTATAGCAGCTTTACAAAATGATTTTTTTTTCTTATATTTTCTTTCTTTTTCCCTCTTTACCCCACTCTGCTCTGCTCCTCTCCCAAAACCTCAGGGTGCCCCTTCCATGCGCTTCACTCCAGCAATGTGGGGCAGGAGCCAGGAGCTCACCCCAAACCCCGGAGCTGTCTCTCCCTTCTCATACACTCAGCTGATGTGTAATGAAGGAGTAAGATCCAGCTAGATCAGTAACTGAGTAGTTTAAAGTTGATGGAGACCTGTTTTATTTTTATCCTTATTTCTTCTGCTGATTGGCCCCCAGTTGGTTTTATCATTTATTTATAATATAGTTAATGGCTGTTGACTGGTCTAATGGGAAAGATTTGAGAGTATGTGGTTGAGAAAAAGGGCACACATAGGAAAATATCATCAAGAAATCAGACATGCCAAAGGAATTACTGCATCAAATTCTGTACTTTATAAGTATGCAAAAGCACATAAAAATATATAAGCAGCTCTGATGGTTCTTGCTGACCGGTTGTATTGAATAGTATTCCTCCCAGCTAATTACTTCAGCTATCTGAAAGATAGGTGTCTAATAAAAGCATGCTGTGTAAGCTCCCTCTATACATAATGTACATATATGTACTTGTACTTGCAAATCATTTCCATGGTCCTGGCCAGGTCAGATAGGGGATCTAACTCTTTAGAAGCATGTCTTTCCTCACTGACTATCAAAGGAGCCAAGAGAACTAATTGACATTATATGCCACCAGACAGTGGTTTTTTTTTTCTTTTTTTTTTTTAAGGGCAGGGTTTCAAAGTGTGAAGGCCCGATTAGTGGTCGCCTGAGTTTGCAACATCCAAACTGATAAAAGATAACAATTCGAATGTCAGTACTGAATGAACTTGACTCCCTCCTTTGAGGTACTTATACACACTGGGTAGATCCCCTCTCAGCCTTCTCTTCTCCAGGCTGAATAGGCCCAGCTCCCTCAGCCTCTCCTCATAGGGCAGATGTTCCAGGCCCCTGATCATCCTTTGGAGAAAACATGTAAGAAACACAGAAATGATTGTACTGCAGAGATATTCTTTTGTACTGCAGAGATATTCTTTAAGTAACACCTCACTTTGGCACAGGAACATGGTAGATTTGATTGTGCCTATTAAATAGTGTCAACAATTTCCCATTGGATTCCTACCTACAGCTAACCTGGAGAGAAGTGCTGCTACCAGCTTTGACCATGAAATCAAAGCTTTGACCACCAGGAGAGGTGCCAGAGGACCGGATGCCTGCCTATTTTGCCGAAGATATTTGAGCTGTCCACACAGCAAGGTAGGCCCTTAAAGAGCACCAGAACACGATGGCAACACATTGCTTGGAATACGTCTCTCTTCCCTCAAGACATGTTGTTTCAATATAAAGAGGATTTTATGAGATAAATCATAGTAGTGAAAGTCAACTAGTTCTTTTCCTGCACTTTGTTCTATTTTTTTTCTTCTTTGTAAATCCTTATCATCACAGAAACTGAACAGCAGGCTATAATAAGATTCTGGTTAAGGTCCAGTGTTTAATGTATCTGCAATGGTCTGGAAGGAAAGAAAGAAGAATGGAATAAAAAAATGCACAGATTACAAAAATGTATCCGAATTAACTGTATTCCATCCAGACAGAATAATTCATATACAGAAGAATAATATTTAAGGTAGTTATTTCTCTTATAGAGCTCTAAATATTTCATGGCAGTGAAACGGGGATCAAAAATGGACCGCCTCATAAATAAGAAGTGTCAGACAGAAGCAAACAGATTGTTAGAATACAGGAAGATTGAAGAAATTATGATATTGCCAATTCCTAGACAACCATGTCTTTCTCACTTATGATAATACTGTGCAAAAGGATGTGGATTTTCTAGAGCCATTAAAAGGGCTCAAAGCACAGGAAATACACAAAAGTTGGGACTCTTTGCTCTAGAAAAGAGACAATTAAGCAAGAACACAAATAAAGAAGGATCTAGAAGAAGCAGAAATGAGCATCTCTCTGTTTAGGAGACAAGGACCATGGTGATGAATGGTACAGAGAAGGCAGAGATACTGAATGTCGTCTTTGCTCAGTCTTTATTGCTAAGACCAACTCTAAGGGATCCCAGGCCATGGAGACCATGGAGAATGTCTGGAGAAAGGAAGACTTTCCCTTGGTTGAAGAGGATTGGCCTAGAGATCGTTTAGGCAAATCTGACATCCACAGATCCTTGGGCCCCAGTGGGATGCACCAAGGAATGATGAGGGGGCTGGTGGATATCATTGCTAAGACATTCTCCATCATCTGTCAAATGACTTGGACAACAGGAGAGGTACCAGAGGACTGGAGGCATCTGAAGACTGATGTCATTTCAGTCTTCAAAAAGGGCAAAAGAGAGGACTCAGGGAGCAACAGGCCAGTCAGCCTCACCAGCCTCCCCAGAAAGGTGATGGAACAGCTCATTCTGAATGCTATCCCGAAGCATGTAAATAGTAAGAAGGTGATCAGCAGTAGTCATCATGAATTTACTGAGAGGAAGTCATGCTAAACCTACCTGATAGCCTTCTATGATGGAATGACCGCCTGGGCAGGTGAGGGGAAAACAGTGGGAAGAGCAGCTACCTTGACTTCAGCAAGGTTTTTGACACTGTCTCCCATAACATCCTCATAGGCAAGCTCAGGAAATGCAGGCTAGATGAGTGGACATGGAAATGGACTGAAAGGCAGAGCTCAGAGGCTGTGATCAGTGGAGTAAGGTCTAGTTAGAGACCTGTAGCTAGCGCTGTCCCCCAAGAGTCAATACTGGATCCAATACTATCCAACTTGTTCATCAGTGATCTAGATGATGGGACAGATAGTATAGATGTTGATGATACAACACTGGAAGGAGTGGTTGATACACTAGAAGGCTCTGTTGCCATTCAGAGGGATCTTGACTGGCTGAAAAGTTGAGCAGAGAAGAACCTCATGAAGCTCAACAAAGGCAAATGCAGGGTCCTGCACCTAGGGAGCAATAGCCTCATGCATCAGTGCAGGTTGGGGATGATCCACTGGAAAGGTCACGCTCATTGCAGAGCTCATGAAGGCTGACAAAGGTCAACTCTGCAAAGAAGAACCTGGGATAACAAGTAAACCATGAATCAGCAATGTGCACTTGTGCCCAAGAAGGCAAGTGCATTTGGAAGAGAGTTGCCAGCAGGTTGAGGGAGGTGATTCTCTCCCTCTTCCCAGCCCTGGTGAGGTCACATCTAAAGTACTATGTTGAGTGTTGGGCTCCTCAGTACAAGAGGGACATGAACTACTGGAGAGTCCAGTGTAGGGTTATGAAGATGATGAAGGGACTAGAGCCTCTCGCATGTGAGGGAAGGCTTGGCCTGTTCAGCCTGGAGAAGAGAAGGCTGAGGGGGGGAATTTTATTAATGTGCATAAGTATCTGAAGTGAGGGTATCAGGAGGATGGGGCTGGACTATTCTCAGTGGTGACCAGTGAAAGGACAAGAATCAGTGGACACAAACTGAAACA